ACAAAAAATGCTATATATTTTGAAACATCACTATGTTACATCAGTAGTCTACATACCAACAGATCCAAACAGGTGACGGAGAAGAGGAGCAACATGTCCCCGGAGGCTGAATATACAAGCTGCCAGCTGCTGCTTAGATGCTGCACAAACAAATCACTCAAATTAGCAGTTTGCATAAACTAGTTGTATAATCAACTTGAAGTTAGAACTAACCTCCATCCAACATCTTCTGTATAAAATGAACAGCATATTTATTAGAAGCAAGGTTAAGAAACTGTGGCTGGAGTTCGGCGAAGAGAGCATCTTTTTCAGCTTGTGAGCAAAACTTCACACAAGTCTACGAAAAAGAAGAAAACAACAAACCAATTATACATGTTCTTAGGGATTTGGCAGCCCTTTTCCATAAAACTCAAAAGATGCAAAAACACACCTGGAGTACACGGGATGAAACATGTGAGACTGCAATCTCTGGAACCTTCCCCTTCATCTTCCTTATAGCTTCAGAAATCAGCCTAACAAATAAATTTAAAACCATGTTTAATCAAACAAGTATAAAATAGAACGTTTTAGAACAAAGAGGCATTCTTTATTGTATACTAACTTTGATCGGTCCTCCTTGCCAATATCACGACGCCTCATCTTCTCCCATAGAGATGCAAGCTCCTGATAAGAGTTATCAATCCTCTGTTACGATAAGTACAAAAAGCCAGAAAATTTGTATTCACCAAGCTACATACTTGCTCAAGATTGTAATGTGGCTTCCTCTTCTTCTTCCTAGCTTCTGTTAGCTCCTGCAGCCAAAATCAAAACATATCAAGAATCAGAAACCAAATTATAATTCATCAGACATATATAGATTCCAAATCCAAAAATGTTTTACCTTAGCCTGTACACGACGCTCCTTCTTCGATAGATTAGTACTCTGCTCCCTGTCTCCAAAATATTTGGGTTTCCCATGTTGTTGTTGTTGTTCTCCAGACACCAGCTTTGGCTTCTTCGATTTTAGAGAATCGAATGTTTCAGTAACCTTCCTCTTGGTCGATTTCAGACCTTTGGAAGACATTGTTGGGAAGACAAAACTAAAGTTGAACTGTAATTGGTGTGTGTAAGAGATAGTGAAGGGTTTTACAGTTTCTAGGGTTTTGAGGAAGAAGATAGACGGCGATACAGTTTTGTTTGGCGGAATTTGGACAAAAGTACCAAAATAAGGCTCTTATTCTTTAAAATTACTGCTTTGCCATTGCCACAACTGGATTGGTCCGGTCTGTTTTTTTCCGGTTTAACTTGTGGAAATTTCATTATGTT